TTGGCGAATTGACCGGTAGGACGTTGGCGAAGCGACTTAGGACGTTGGCGAATCGACCTAAGACGTTGGCGAACGAGACGTTGGCGAAACGACCGGATACCGCACTCCTGGATAACTTTTGCACTGTCATGCAAGCTTGCTTTCTGCATTGCTGATTCTTGGGATGGTCCTAAAGAACGACTGATCGTTAAATTCTGTTTTCCGTCGATTATTTCTAAATTATCCATCATCTCGTTTGTAAAAGACAGGTGATCACTGAATGGGATCATTGTTATGTTCTGTTATCAGCGATGTGTAGAGTTTGGCTAAGATTTTTCTTTCGAACGTCTCTGCAGGGCGTACGGAACCTTGACTCGGGCCGCACGCTGGCTCCTCTGAACAGAATTTAATTATTTAATAATTAAGTTTGCATCTGTTTATAATCTTAAAAATACGAAAATTGGATTTTGGGGGTTCTGGCTTAAGCCTAAATAGGACATGTTGGGGGTCAACATATATACATAAGCTTACATAAACTTCACTTTATTTCAGTGTCTGTAAGATTAAGCTTGAAATTTGGCCTCATTTGCACCTGTCACCAAAATACCTGAGTATTCCGCCTGTACTGCCAAAACTATTTAATTTGCAGATAAGCTTATGACCATGATCAAAAGAGAAAACATTTAGAGATGACTTTATAATGAATAATTTCACTAACTCTCCCGTCTGATATTTTACTGCCAAAGAGGTTTCACTTTCTTGAACCATCATATCTCCCCCACCCATACTTTACCTCTTTGCATATTAGTTTCAGAGTTTACCAAAAGTTCTTGTGCCAGGAAAAATATCACAGAAATGTAACTGCAAGATTACAACACATTGGGGGAGAGTATTCCATTACTGTTAGGCCTTGTTTACAAGGAGATCGGTAACCCAAGTGCTTGGGTTACCCTAGGAACAGGGGTATCCTAAGACTCCCAAATTTCTTCTTTTATTCATGAACACATTTTCAAGGCATGTATGTTAACCCTGGTGCTAGGAGTTCCTAGCTTAGCACTAGGTTTACCCCCAGGCAGGGTAGTACCAGAAAAGTTGGGTGGGGGTGTGTGTGTGGCCCGCTTCCCAAAACCCTTACCCTATTTATGACCAAAATTTGCAATTTCCCCTACCCTATTTATGACCTGACCAAAAATTTGAAACCCTATTTATGACCTCATCCTTAAATCAAAACCCTGTTTCAGACCTGCGTCATAATTAGTTCCCTAGTTCAGACCAATGTTAAATTACCGTAAACATAATTTGTGAAAGGCTTTTGTTGATTTTCTTTTTGATAATGATGAAAAAGTAAGTGGCTTCTTCTTAAAAACATACCCATATCAAGGCTAGAGTGCAAAACATACCCTGTTTATGACCAACATGGCCAAAATCAGCTAAAATTGATACCCTGTTTATGACCAAAACGGCTGAAAACCCGTACCATTTGGGGCCGCACATACCTATATAGCCCATATCCCATATAAGGGAGTACCCCCCCCCCCGGTTTACCCTAGCACCAGGGTTAATGCTCTGGCAAGGACAATTTTCTTTTAGCTCCAAGAAACAAAATATGTAACAACTACTGGTAAAACAAAGCAATTTTGACTTAATAAACATCATATAGTAATTCAAAAAAGTTTTGATTTGGATGGCAAAATTTTTGGAAAAAAAAAAGGCCTTTTGCAATGAAATTTTCAAAATGATGTCAGTCACTAAAATATATTCTATTGCAGAATTGTTTATAAATTGTTTGGCCATTAAATTCATCCCAAGTCACAGAGAAATTACTGTCTGGGAGTTTAAGTGAGCTTAGAAATTGAAATGATTTCAGTGGAAATGATAAACTACACAATTCAAGTATAAACAAGTTTTGACAATAATTTATTATCTGTTGTGTATTTTATTTACCATGTTAACAAACGTGTGACAGGCCGCCATTTTCCCACGTAGTAGGGTAACCCTACCTGAGATATTGTGCTTGTAAAGGCAGGCTATCTTTGACCCTCTTGCTAGGGTAAGCCTAGCACTAGGGTTACCCTATCAGGTGCCACAGTCTTTTTTTCCCTTTTGTTACAGTTACCTTATTATAGGGAATTAACACTCGTGTTAATTAACATATTTGAAATTAATGTGACTTAAATTAACATGAATTGAAGGTAAGTTTGCTTCCCAATAAAGGAAATTAATGCGAGAGAGGGGGCAAAATTTCAAAATGAGGGAAAGTAGCGCGTCTGCTACACCAAAAAAAAAAGATTTGTTGAGAACAGGAACCAATTTATTTTAGCACTGTAAAGCTGACAGCGAAAATGAATAAAATTCCATTGAAGTACAGTAAATGATTTACTAATGTGAAAGATTGATGTGAAATGTAAAGTGTGCAAATAAAATTTATTGTTTGGCTGTGTCAAGAATGTCTAGAGTGTGTCACAGATTTAGGGGAAAATAATGGTAATTAACGTTGCGGAAATTAACGCACAACTTAATTAACAGCGCAGAAATTAACATTTATATAAATTAGCATGACATCAAGTAAGGAAAATTTTAAAAATTCACGTTAATTTCACAAAGCATTAATTTCCTATAATGCAGTAACTTTTTGGATGAGCCCAAAGGTGAAGAATTTACCAAATATATTAAATTTACTGTACTGGAAAGATGTGCACAGGTTAACCTTCTTTATGGCAGTAATTGCTCTTAACTTTGCTGTGAATAGATTACACTGTAAATGATTTTATTACTTTTTCTCAATGATTTTGGCATTATTAGTACTTAAGGGCCTTGTGTAAATAAGTTTAATAATTTTAATTAGTTTAGCATTTTCTTTTTAGTACTTAAGGCTCTTGCTTAGTGTCCCCAATTAGTCCGCTAGGGCTAAATACATTTTACTCTTAAATAAAGGTTCTTATCTTATCTTATCTTGGTGGAAAATTTGTCGGTTTCCTTGTTACAAAATAAATTTATAATATTGATACAAAGGGTTGACTAAGGATCAGGGTATTGTTGGAATTAAATGAAACATAAAATGTGCAACAAAAGAAATTTTTCTCTTTTTCTGACTTTTAGGTGGTGCTTGTTGTTCCCTCATCTCAGAAAATCAAACCCAGTGAGAAAGTGCCACACAAGATTTACCAAGTACCCTATGAACCTGGCTTCCATGAAGATGCCATGATACGGCTTGAATTTGAGGGAAATAAGTTACAACTGTTTTTGAAAATGGGTGAAGTGCTGCATGCTTTGTGTGAGAGTGTTTTCAACAGCACAGAGGTTCTCGAGGACCTGAAAGGCTTTGACCTCATTATTTATGACAGTCTTGCATCTTGTGCTGTATTGATTGGTGAACACCTTAGTATTCCTAGAGTCGAGATTTTGCCTGCTCCACCAAATGTTCCATTCTCTTTTAAGCACATGATACCAATGCCTGTCTCCTACGTTCCACAACTGTTGACAGGATTTACTGACAAAATGACTTTTTTGGAACGTGTGATGAATTTAGGGGTTTACTTTGGTACAAAGCATTTTATACAGTTTGCATTTGAAAGACAAATGGATGCTCTTAAAGTCAAGTACAAAATCAAACCTGAACAAAGTTTTCATGAGGCTGCTGGTGATGTTGAACTTGTCATAATTACTGCAGACTTTGCTATAGAGTATCCACAACCCCTATTGCCAGGTATGAAATCTTCATTTGAAAGATTTGACGTAATAATAAATACTAACAATCATGTTAAGATTGAGCTCTTTGCCAGTGATCAAATTGTGGTCAGAACATTCATGATATTCAAATAGTGCAGTTGCTTTGGAGTACTTTATTCCTAGCTTGTGGAGCTTTGAGAGGTCAAAAAACAGGAAACTCATTATTTCTATGGGAATGCTTACTTCACAGGGTATGACAGGGGTAAATTAAAGTTTCTAGCACATGTCTGGCACAGAAAGAATTCTACCATCTGGTTTTTACCTTTTAAGTAATAACAAAGGTAAAATGTTGTTGACACGATATTGTGATTACATTCTACAGGCAATGTCATGGTTGGACCACTGAATGTCAAAAAAGCGGCAAGGGCACTCCCCCCTGATTTAGAAGAATTTGTCAGCAATTCAGGGGGCCATGGCTTTATCATTGTTTCCTTTGGTTCAAATGTGGCATCAGTTCTTCCAAAGACAGTGGTAGACATGTTAGCAACAGCATTTGGAAAGCTGAAACAGAGAGTTGTGTGGAGGCTTCAAGGTAGTGCGGCAGTTATTAATCAACCAAACAGTCAATTTTCAATCAGTCGATGAATTGGTTGGTGGGTGAATATGTCGGTCATTTAGTCTGTGGGTGGGTCTTTCAGATGGTGGTCAATCAGACATTGGGTTTGTTGATAATTTCTTTGGTTGATCAGTTAGTGAGTCTGTCAGTTTGCATGTGGGTTGGTGGTTGTACGTTTGCGTGAGACAAATCAGTTAATGTTATTAATAGTGTAACTTGATGGTTGACGTGCTGGACTCTGGATCAAGTGATCTGGGTTCAAGCCTTGGCCAGGGTCATTGCATTGTGTTCTTGGGCAAGACACTTTACTCTCACAGTGCCTCACTCCACCCAGGTGTAAAAATGGGTACCAACAAACTTATTACCAGGGGGTAACCCTGCAGTGGACAAGCATCCCATCAAGGGGGGAGTACAGATATTCCTAATCTCTTAGTATTGCAGAAACTGGGAGAAGCTTCAGCTGTATGAGCCACTTGGCCCAATGCAGACTTAATCTCCATCTTTATTTTTAGTGTATGTATTAAGTGTATGTTGAGTGTAATAGGGGGTTAGATTGCAATTGGGACACTAGTTCTGTGTCTTTCCTCCATACTATAATTTAGAATTTATTTGCCCATTTGAAGTTAGTTTTTTGTCTGTTTGAATTTATTTGTTCTTGTATTTTGGTGACAAACTCATTGAAACTAAACTTAACTATCTCACACTGTTTTTTTAGGTTTAAACTTTGTAATAAACTAGTATAGCATGTTACAACACACCTGTTACCAAATTGCTTTATCTTTTTTTTTCAAGATGCACCATTTTAGTGACACAAGTGTCTCTCTCCTCTCTGGCAGGTTACATTCCTTCCTTCCTTGCTACAAACATCAAAGTACAGGAATGGTT